TAAGTTTATTTTTTATTATAATTTATAATTATATTATATTAATATTTTTAAATTATATTTGTTAGACTTAATACAATTTTAGAAACTTCTTTTAAATCTGAAAATTTTCAAAACTATCCTTCAATAATTAAAACAATTAAAGAGTGTAAATCTTTAGTTACATATTTTAAACATAGCTCTTTGCATTTAAAATTAGAAAAATCTTTAAAACAAGAAACTGAAACTAGATAGAATAGTAAGTTAAAAATGTTGGAATTAATTTATGATCAATTTGAATTAATTAATACTATTCTTAATAATAAAGATGAATTATATAGAATCGAAAATATTGATTTGATATTTTATTAATTTTAATTAACTTTTTAAAAAAATTTGAAGAAGCAACTAATTGTTTAGAATCATCTAAATCTCCTACTTTACATTTAGTAATTCCTTGTTATAAAGCTCTTAAAGAATATTGTAAAATAAGCCAATATGATGATAAAATTTTAAAACAAATTAAAATAGTAGTAAATGAAAAACTAACACTTAAATATAAAATTAGTGAATTATATAAATTAGCAGTTTTTTTTAATCCAAAAATGATGCAACTTAAAATTTTAGAACCAGAAAATATTTTATGGGTTAATGATCAAATTAAAGAACAATATTCTTTAATTGAAACAGATAATTTTAATTCTAATAATAATAATAGTTTAGATATAAATAATCAAGAAAGATTAACAAAAAATGTATATCAAAAAACTAACAAAGATTTTACAAACTTTAGTGAATATTATGATTCAAGTGATGAAGAAAATAGTTTAAATGAAATTAATCAATATTTAGCTTATAAAGTAGCAAAAGATACAAATTTAAATATTTTAGAATGGTAAAAAAATCATGGAAAAGAATATCTGAAACTTTCAATTTTATCTAAATTTTATCTTTCAATTTCAGCTTCTAGTGCACCAAGTGAAAGAGAATTTAGTATAGCTAGATTAACAATTAATAAACAAAGTTCAAATTTAAATCCTGAAACACTTGAAAGTATTCTTATTATGCATAGTGCTTTATTTTTTTTTTTTTAAGCGATCCTGCCTTTATTCATGTGAACTGCTATAAAATTTATATACAATGTACTAAATT